TGCAGAATTTCTTTGCAGAAGCCTACAAGTTACAATGCAGAATTTCTTTGCAGAAGCCTACAAGCTTAAGATTATGAAACTGCAGATAAGATTCAAGATAGGTGCTCTTTGAAACATGAATCATGCATGTGTGCTCCCATGTATATATGAACTTCTACTAATCATCGAATTTGGTATAACAGTTCAACTTAACAGAGAACCATAAGCAGCATCAGCTACATATACACAAAATTCTCTAGGTTCAATAAATGCAACCTAGATGCCCTGGTCCATTAGATCCCACTAGAGCCCCAAAAATGATCATAGGTGCTCTTTGAAACATGAATCATGCATGTGTGCTCCCATGTATATATAATAGGTAGCACATAAGATGATAGGATATATGGACTTCAACTAATCATTGAATTTGGTATAACAGTTCAACTTAACAGAGAACCATAAGCAGCATCACCTACATATACAAAAAATTATCTAGGTTCAATAAATGCAACCCAGATGCCCTGGTCCATTAGATCCCACTAGAGCCCCAAAAATTATCAACGCATAGGCAAAACTAATAGATCATGTGACCATCAAGAAGTCAATATATATAAAAAAAAAAAACATGTGACCATCAAGAAGTCCATGTGTCACACCCCAAGTTACCTAAAACATAAAGTAAACACAAAAATGAAATGGACCTTTTTTCCGAAAAATTAGAGAATTTTTTCCAATGTCAAATCAATTCAAATTTCATTAGAAAAAAAATAAAAATCAATCCATAGCTGATGCTTGGAAAATCAGGGGCAAAGATCCAACCCGGACCAGCAGTATTGCATTAGATCTCCTTAGAGCCCGAAAGTTACGAGTGCAGATGTAAAAGTAGTAGAATATGTGACCTTTGAGAAGTCCATGTGTAACACCCCATGGTAACTACAATATAACGTAAAACACTCACACAACAGAAATTACCTTTTTTCAGAAAACAAAATTAAAGAAACAAAAAGTTTTTCCAATGTCATATCAATTAATTCATCAAAAAGGGATTAAAAAAAAGAAAAGAATTTGATCCACAGTTGATGCTGGGAGGTAAAGCTGGCACACCTCCAAACGAGTGAAAAGTAAAAGGAAATCTTTTTGGATTGGTTTCATCTTCCATTTATTAGGCAACAATTTGTGCCTTGGGTCTTCGGCACGTGTTGCACTCTTCCAATTTCATTGGATGGAAAAAACCTTTATAAATGCAGCCATTGAACAAATACGAATTGTGGGGCAGTTACAAAGAAAGTATATTCCCTAATCTCATCTAGCAAGGAAAAAATCGCTTACTTATTTTAGTGTAGATCAATTATAGAATAAGAACAGGAAATTATTCCTGCTTTATTTGGTTGTCATGCTAAGCACAAGGACATAACAACCACAATAAGTTATTCAGGTCTACTATATGGTCATCGACACAGATTCATATTCAGGCAGGCCCTACAAAAGGAATACAAGGCTAAACAAGCAGTCAGTGCAACCAAAATATTACAGATAATATGCTTATTAAGATGACTATCACAGCATAACTAGACAGCATCTCCTTAAGAATCAGAGAATGTGAAGTTTCCAAAACAAGAGTAAGTAAAACTCCAACTTAGCTCGATATTATGAGATACATCTATTCAAAAAGTTGTTTTCCAATAAACAAATCTGTAATTCTTTTCCAGTTATAGATAAGTCTAGTAAAATGCAGCTACTAGCTGCTGAACCCACTTCCATTGGATCAAGGCAAATTTTACTTCCAGCAAGGATTTGCTGAACTTTTATGTCCTTGTCATTTCATAATGAACAAATTAAATAGAGTGCTGTCACATAATACAGAGGAAGAAAAGTCAGTAAAGTCACATGCATAGATATATTCAGGGGTGAGAAACGAGACCCTTAGGGAGTTTGGTTTATATGCCATACTGGAACAGGCATATGGTCAAACCTCAAGAACTCGCTGGTTGATAACTTCGCTTAGCCAACAACCCTGAGGTCTCCGGTCTCCCTGCCAATAGTGGGCTTCTCATTTGACAAGTTCAACTCAAACACACTCAACGCTGTCTTGTCAGAACAAATTTTGCTCACAGGAGCTACTGTGGATACTCCATTCCTTGTTAGGAGCTCCATTGATATCTCTAGAAAGCTGAGCTAATTTATTCATGACTTACTTTGACCCATTTCTAGAGAGGATAAGGGGTTTTTTTGGTTTATTATCTTATGAAGAGGCCAATTACCTTACCTTGTAAATCATAAACTTCATTTGCAGGAAAAAATAGTCACAAAGAAAACTTTAGAAATTGGGGCTTCCAGACAGGCTTTGTTCATATAAATCATATACTTCATAGTGAGATGTCAAAAAAAAGTTTGTTATGTTTTTTCCTCTTCTTCTTTTCAGTGGATTATCAGTGTAACAAACTCAGGTGACAAAAGTCCCCAATACCCCTCCTGTGACATAACAGCATTTTCTTATCTATTAGCCACTGAAATTGCCTCCATATGTATATGACTAGTAACCGCTTATTACAATAGAGATCACATACCTATAAAAAGAAACCATAGAAAAGAAAACATATTTTTTCAAATCCTAAAGACAAATTCTATCAAGCAATGTTTCCCTTTTAAAGGGATCTAAAAGCATTTGGCCGTACGCCCAAGATAACAGTAGGTTTTGAAAGGGCCTAACACAAATACCTGAACCCTTTAAGAAGGGCCTAGGCATCCTCAACAACATAACTATATCCCTAGAGGCCTTACTTAGAGACTAAAGATCCTTTCACATACCATGAAAGAGAAAAAACAATCATAATTCACTGGCCCCAAGTTCCCTGTGTATCTTGCGTTAAAGTTGAGCTTAAGGATTGTCAACAATGAACGTACAAATAGATTACGAGCTTGAATTTGAAATTATAACCCTTTGCTGCATCCAATGATGATCTATCCAAAGACATGAAATTTTTTGACAATATATATATTACTCAATATGAGATAGTTACAAAGCACCAATTTACTCCCTTCAAAGCAAAGTGACCATGAAGAGAACTTGAAAACATTTTGCAAATCCATGCTTTTGCTTTTGAAGATTTGATGGTGCTTCCTAATTGCCAAGTGGCTTACAAGCAAATTGAATTGGAGAATTCACTGGAACTCAAACTTCTTTGAACTATTTTAGAATGGCTCATCGTAAATATAATTGAGGATGAGCAAAATTGAGCTCTCCGTTAAAAAACGACAAGTTTTAAATTTTTGAATAACATAAAATAAAGTAAATGGCATATAATTTGGAAAAAATATAGTACAATAAATTTCTTCAAATTGGAAGTTCAAGGCAGAATGGTCAATGATGTCTTAAGAGGCAATTGTTCTAATAGTTTTCTAAGAACATTGGTCGACTTTATAAAATAAGCATAATTACATTAAATTTAGAATAGTTAGAGGCTGCCCACAAACTGGGTGCTCAGAATATAGAAAGAAGGAAGAAGATGAGAGAGGAGAAAAGACTTGATATAAGAATAATAAAAAGCAAGGCATGACGTCTAAAGAAAAAACAAAAGGGTCTTTAACATACTAGATGTAATGAAAATTCTCTAACATACTAGATGTAATGAACCACTAGTTACTGATTTTGTGCAAATTATTTTTGATCCACCCCGATTCCAGCTCCACCAAATTTATGTTAACAACCAAAACCCAATAAACCCATTATATTAAACTAGTTAACATTCGCTAAAAAAAATAAACATATTAAACTATTTCTTTCATTAAGACCTTGCTGGGTCTTTTTTTCTTCCATTCTCTTTTTTTTTTCTTCGATGGCTGACAATACATATTTCCATCAACATAAGGAAAAGAAAGAAAAACCACAAAGCAATGAAAAGTAAAAATAGCAAAAAAATCATTGTATGGCTAGAAGTTTAGAAAAATGCAAGGCTTCATTTGGGATGTCGGATGGGTTGAGGAAGGCAAGGATTTCGGGCAGCCCTCAATAGTGCTCCATATGATACCAGTAGGAAAGAGGGGGGAACCCCTTTCTAAATAGAATGCCTTGAGAATGTGTAAGGGTGCAAAAGGAAGGTCCCAAGTGTTGGAGATTTAAGCACCGGAATAGTGTCATGGTTTGGCCAAAAATGGATTTTGACCCCTTCTCAAACAGAGCCTAAGCGTTTAGAAGTATAAGCAACTAACACAAATTGGAACCCAAAGTATCAGCAAAAAAAAGTAAGTGAAACCTAATGAAAAGAACAAAAGAAGTCAGCAACCAACAAAACCAAACCAGTGTTTTGAAACTCAAACTCAGGCCTGAGGCAGAGTCAGTGCCCCAGACTTAGCCCAGTCTGAGTCGAACTCTGCCAAGTCATAATAAAGAAACCTCAGCAATCAGTGAGACTCAGGCCTGTTCCAGGCGTTTTTCAGATGGACGTGGCAGGGTCACGGTCCAAAGATATAAAAAAAAAATGTCTAAAACTCCAAAAAAATAACCCCCAGTTTGGGAGCCACAAATTTCAAAGCCCAATTGCACAAAGTCATTACAAAGAGTTAAGCAATGCTAATCAAGAATTCAGCATACAAGTATCACATCACCGGCTTTATCATTTGAGTCATCAAAAACACAATCTCTTCAAACTTAATAAAAGAAAAAAATCAATGCAATTCATTAATACTTCATAGCAAATTTATCAATTCCTGCATCTGCAAAAATGTCTAAAAAATGAAAACAAGGAATTGATTTTGAATCAGAAAAATAAAAAATGGAAACCACAATTTTACAACTACAAAGAAATCCATCAAAACTCAAGAAATAATCAAAACTCACAGCACAAAGATCGAAATTACCAGCAATATCTGGTCATGCGTTTATCAAAAATATAATGACATTTGAACACCCTTCTCCTTGAATCCACACTTCTCATAAAACTGTCCGTTTTCAACATCACAATCCAATATAACCTTATAACACCCAGTCGATCTGGCATAATCCGATAAATAATTCACCACCATTTGCCCTAATCCCCATCCCCTAACCCTAGAATCAACAACCACATCCTCTATGTGACCCGCTTTTCCGCAGTTCCTGATAAATTTTTTTTCCACGAACACTGAACCAGTGGCCACAATTTCATGGGAACTAGAGTTTTCTATGACACAGATTGAGTGATCTTCGCCTAGAGATTGCAGTTCATGGAATCGAGAGTGGAAGTCATCTTCCGTAATAGGAGGGCATAGAGTGAGCTGGGATAAGAGCTCGGTAAAACCCTTGGAGTAATCAGTGAGCTCCAGTTTTCGAACCAGGAATGGCTCTGTGCTTTCCCCCATATGCGAGAAAGAGTGAGGAGTGTAGAGAGAGAGAGAGAGAGAGAGAGAGAGAGATGCAAT